TTACAATGTAACAGTGAAGCGCAAGAGAAAATACAAGTGATTTTGGATGAGATTAAAAAAAAGGAAGAAGAGTTTAAAAAATTTCCGGAGAAGACGACTATTATCCACCAAATTAAGCTTCTACAGAGGCAATTATCTATGTTAACAGTAAGAGAGATGGCAATAAAGATGAATTATGCAAAACAAAGAAATTTTGAATCTGCAAATAAACTGGGGAAATGGTTGGCATATAAATTGCGAAAAGAAAAAGAAAGGAAGGTGATACTAAAGTTACAAGGAGGAAATTGTATAATAATAGATAATGCAAATATGCAAAAGTGTTTCACCAGTATTACTCTATTTTATATAAAGGTCAAGAAATTTCCTTGGAAAAAGTGGATGAATATTTGCATAATTTATCAAATATTACAGAGAATCAGAGACAAATTTTGAATGGATCTATAACCATAAGGAAAGTTTGTGAAGTTTTAAAAAGACTAAAATAGGAAAGGCACCTGGTCCAGATGGTCTGCCAGCCTCTAATTATATATGTTGTGAGGATGAACTTTTGCAAACTTTACAACAAATGATGAATATTATTTTACAGAATGGAAAGATTCCTGACAGCTGAAAAGAGGCCAATATAGCATTAATACCTAAAGAGGCCCAGGACCTGACTTTAACAAGAAATTATTGACCAATAACTTTACTGAATAATGACTATAAGTTGTTTACAATGATTTTGGCTGAAAGGTTGAAAATAATTTTACAGGACTTTATTCATGAAGATCAATGTAGGTTAGAGGCCCAGGACCTGACTTTAACAAGAAATTATTGACCAATAACTTTACTGAATAATGACTATAAGTTGTTTACAATGATTTTGGCTGAAAGGTTGAAAATAATTTTACAGGACTTTATTCATGAAGATCAATGTAGGTTTTAACCTAAAAGACAATTACGAGATATTAGAAATGTGTTGAATATTCTGAAGTATTTGAAGCAGCACAATGAAAAGCAAGCTACATTGATCTTCTTAGATGCAGAGGAGGCCTTTGATATTTTGGATCTTCTTGGTTAGAGTTCTGGAAGATATGAACTTTGGAGATATTTTTATTAAATGGGTAAGATCGATTTATACCTCACAGAAAGCACAAATAATTGTTAATGGAGAATTAACAAACCTTGTGAGATTCAAAAAGGGACAAGACAAGGATGCCTGCTGTCTCCACTCTTGTTCATTTTAGTTTTTCACATACTGAATAGAGACATAAGACAAGATGAGAGAATCATGGGAGTAAAGATTAAAAAAGAAACTTAAGGGCATTTGCTGATGACCTGGTGGTAGTTTTGGAGGATCCATTAAAGGGAGTAGAAACATTAATGGGAAAATTAAAGGACTTGGTATGCTAGCAGGTTTTAAGATTAATAATCAGAAGATGAAGATGTTGAAATATGAAAATAGAAGATCAAATAGAACTGATGGAGAAAACTGGTTTTAAGATTTAAAAAAAGTAAAACACTTGGGTATTACTATGATTTTGTTATATTATTTTGAATTATTTTGAAATAATGTACAATTCATATTTATGTTAAGACATGGAATGATATTAAGAAGGGCATGTTAAGATGGAAGAACTTAAAATTGTCACTGTTGGGGAGAATTTTTGTGACAAAAATGAATGTTTTGCCTAGAATGATGTTTTTGTTTCAGACAATATCTGTTTTGACAACTGATGTACCATTCAAGCAATGGCAGATATATACATATTTAAATTTGTATAACAAGGGAGAAAAACCATGAGTTAAATATAAAGTGCTACAAGATGCAAAGGAAAGACGAGGATTTGGTTTACCAGATTTGAAACTGTATTTTACAGCTTGTTGTTTGGTTTGGATGAAAGAATGCTGAGAAACAAAAAACTTTTAGAGTTAAAAGGGTACCACCTGAGGTTTGGATGGCATGGATATTTAGTTAATGTGGATTTTAAAAACCACTTTATTAGACATGACATATTGAAAATATGGAATAGATATAAACTCAGGCTGTGCCCAAAACACCTCTATGCATCACAGAAAAAGAAGCATTTTACAAAAGAGAAACAACAGGCAAAGACAAATGGTTAACATACCAAGAATTATTAGAGAATCATTAAGGGGAATATAAAATTAAATCAAGAAAGCAAGTAATGGCAGAAAGATATAGTTGTCAATAGTTTTCCCATTTACAATTATCAGAAAGATTTAAAATGGATAAAAAGACTTATGGTATGGAGCAAAAAAGACAGAATTTGAAGTGCAATTGTGTACCAATGATGAACATGTAATTGCTAAAAAGTATAAACTTTTGTTGAAATTTGAAATGGAAGAACAGATTAAAGAACATATGATAAAGTGGGCTAAGAATTTTGGTTAGAATGTACAGATGGATCAATGGGAAATATGTAATCAAAAGAGTTGAAATTTAAGAACATAACATAAAATTTAAAATTTTTATAATTTTTATAAAATGATATATCGTTGGTACATGACACCCCAGAAATTATTTAAAATGTATAAAGGCATTCCAAATGTATGTTGGAAATGTGAACAATGTGAAGGGACATTCTATCATGCTTCGTGGACATGTAAAAAAGCTTTAAAAATTTGGATTCAAATACACACATTGATACAGAGGATTTTACAGATTAATATTCAACTGAAGCCAGAACTCTTCCTTTTAGGACTGGTGGATACACGGTTAGAAAAGAATCATGGAAGGTTATTTCAATATATGATTACTGCGGCAAGATTATTATATGCACAAAGATGGAAAGATTCAGCACTACCCACCATGGAGAAATGGTTGGTGAAATGGACAGAACTTGCTAAAATGGCCAAACTGACTTTTAGATTAGAAAAAGGTAATTATGGTCATTATTGACATTCACCAATGACTGGAACCCCCTTATGATCTTCTTGCATAAAAAAGAAAATGATGTTGTGACTTATTAGAAAGAATAGGTCATAGAACGAAGGGAATAATTAAGGCACTCTTAAAGAGAGAGGTTTGATTAGAATTTGTGTGTATAACTGCTGAGAGGAAGATCGGAAGCCATTTCATTATATTTCTTTTCATATTTTCTGTTCTTTTCTTTTCTTTTTCTTTTCTCTTTTTTTTCCTTTTTCTATTTTACATTTAGTATATCTTTTTCTTTGAATGTATTTATTATATATGTAAAATCTTTTAATAAAAACTATTTTTTAAAAAAAACTGTAGATTTTTTTAACTAATATATTCTAAACAGTTACAGTGGGGCAAAAAAGTATTTAGTCAGCCACCAATTGTGCAAGGTCTCCCACTTAAAAA